TCTTTTCTTTGTGAAAGCCGGGGCCAACCTGGAATGGATTCACCCTCACAATGGGGCCCTTGTCTTGGAAAGCATCAAGATTCTAGTGGCATTTGGTGAATTATTGCCAGACCTTGAAAATCCAGGGGAGAGAATACAAATCTTATGCCACTGTCTACCCCTATCTATAGATAGATACCTATCTTCCAGCATCATTCATAAGTATCCTTTTTAGAATTAGATGATCTCAAAGGTCCCTTGTAGGTCTGAAAAACCACATAAGCAAGGTTAAGATCCTGTGGGATTTTGGAATGTGGAGATGGATATGTTGGTCCTGAGAGATAAATGTGAGCTATTCCAATAGGATGGGCCATGGATTTCCATTGCCCAATGTATATACAAAGTAATTTCAAGAAGAAGAGCACTAATACCTTAAGGAAGAGGACAAGAATCAGGAAAGACTTGGTATAAGAGGTGGCACCGGAACTGTGCTTTGAGGAAAGCTAGGAATTCACTACAGTGAATGACATCTGTGAAGAATATACAAAAAGATGGGAAGATCTGCCGTACACCCCATACCCCTCCTTGCCCCAAAGACCATAGAGTCTAGAAGCAGAGCAGAAGATATTCCATTTAGCAATTTGAGTGTTCATAGGGTTTGAAGCACAATTAAGGGAGCAGATAGTCATAGATACAGAAAGGCAGTAAATCAAGGAAAGAGATAGCTTTGTGGAATGGGAACTTTGCCCCTGCCCTACCCCTCGCCCCCACCCTGGCAGTAGAAAAGAGGATTAGCTATGGAGAAAAGCAATCTAGCTGAGTAACCAGCCAGAAGACATGCTGTACCCAAGGGGAATTCCATGTGGACTCTATAAAGAGAAAAAGGACTTCTAGGTCCTTCACTACCAGAAGTTGTGAGTTGACTTTGCCATACCTTTATCTTATAAGTATACCTCACTATTATTGTATTGCAAGTTTTGAGCACACTCTTTCCATGGATGGTATCTATATGTTATTGTGAGAGAATACATCCCAGGTTTGTGGGGAGAATATTTTGCAGCCACTGTTTTTTACTATGCTATCTTAGTAAATGCCTTTGCTAAAATAAATCATGTCTGTTGACTGATTGTTAATGGAAAGTGCACTAATGGGGGCTTGTGATGTTAGGCATGCAAACCCATAGGGTTATCCCTGAGAACTGGAAGTAGCAGCTGTCTGGTGGGGACTCAAATTTCAAATGAGAATACGGACTATAGAAATAACCCAGAAAGAGTTCTACAATTCTTTTTATTTATTTATCTGTACCACATAATATTTGTGGCCATAGTGTTGATTGCCTGTGTAATATCAATATATCACTTGGATTAAAATAAATTTCCTAGATATGAGGTGAGAATCAGTTACAAAGATTTTTTCCATAATTGGAAAAGTATTTGCTTTTCATAACCTCTGGATAATATTGAATCAAGACCAGAGATATGCTAGAGCCAGCTCAGATCAGTTTATGATACCTGATTGTTAAAATTTTGTTGTGAGCATTTATACCCCAGAAATCTCCAAATGTAAACATCAGAGCTTGATTTATTATTTTACTGATTGTATAGACTTAAGAAAGTGATGCAAATCAAACTTTTTGGAGAGCTGGTTATTAAATGTTTACCAGTACATCCCTGATCAAGAACAATACCTGGTTACATTATGAGAAGCTAAGTAAGCATCTGGCAATGGGAGGGAAAGGTAGGCTAAGAGTTAATAGGCTATACACTCTCTGGTAGGAATATAGCAATGGGGATACTCTAGTCTTTGGGAAAGCCCCCACAGGTGACTGGTTGGACACACTTTGAGGGAAACATTTGAATGCCAAGTTGCATATAGCACTTTCTAATGGCTAAATTATTTACTCTACTCTTGCTAATTAATTCATAAAAGCATAGGTTTTGAGCTGGAAGGGATCTTAGAAATCATCTAGCTCAAAACCCTGGTCATTTTACAGATGAAGAAACTGAGGCTTAGTGAGGTTACATGTTTGGCCAAAGGTCATACAGGTAATTATTTAGTAGCCAAAGTAGGATTTGAACTCAGGTGGCCCTTGGACTCCATATCCATTGTCTTTCCACTATACCACATTCCTTCTGTAAATTTTACAAAAAAGCAGGACATGAGCCAGGAATAGGCTATTATTGCTACTTAAGCACCCAAATGTCACCCAGGACACCTACCAAATTCAAACTAAGTCCTCACCAATGTCATTAGTAAGTGTACTTTTTAGAATTAGATGATCTCAAAGGTCCCTTACAGTTCTGACCTTCTGCCGGTCTTATAAACCACACATAAGCAAATAGTACAGAAATAGAGAAAATAGTTTTAATTACAAATTTTTTTGGGTCTATAGCACTTTTTTCCTGGTCGTCAACTAAGGAGGACACCAAAGATTTGGATAAAGATTCTCTGCTCTCTCCTGAAACGGAATTTTTGTTACCTGTACACTGAATAGACTAAAGACTTAGATTTAATTCTTGATTCTATTACCTTCTACCTGTATGGACCTTGGCAACCTCTCTGAGCCTCTGTTTTAGCATCTGTAAACATAAAAGAGCTAGACTCATTGTCTTCCAGCTCTAAATGTATTATATGAGCTCATGAAGTTCCTTGTTTCTCTCCATGACCAATGACAGCCAGTAGACAGCAGAGGGAGCTGCTGGGTTAAGACCTTGCTTGATCACTTTTTATTGAACCTAGTATCCCTGGAGCAAGGGAAGAAGAGTTGGATAGGGAGCCAGGAATTCTGAATTTTCCACAGGTTCCCTTAGATGTTGTGGGACATAAGTTTAGTGAAGGTCTTTTTTTTTCATAGGGGGAGATGATTCCTGGTTTGAGTGGATGGGGTAGCTTAATCGAGGAAGGACTTTATTTGGAATTCTTACCCATTGGATCACAATGATTTACTTGTAGCAAGTGAAGGTTATGGATTTCCTTAATTTTACTTCCCCTACACCTGGCCCCCAAAAACAGCTGGGTGCAGAGGATACGAAGGCTGGACGACCTGGATTTAAAATTCTATCTGTCATACTAGGTATGTGACCATGAGCAAGTCACTTAACTTTTCAGTGTATTTTGGCAACTGTAAGTTACAATTCACATGTCTATTTGTATTGATGAAAGAAAAGGAATTTCCATGCCAAGAGTTTCCGCATTGATGCAATCACAGAAAGTAGGGGAAAAAACCCACACAAAATGTTAATTCTTCTACCTCTTACTCCACAGGTTCCTTTCCCTCCAATGGCATTGGTCCAGCCTGGGAAAACTGATTGAATTACCAGGAAAGAGAATAGGCGGAGTTGCCAATAGTTGTGATTTGGGAAGGTGAGAGACACAGGATTGGATTTATCATCCTTATCATGAGGACCAATTTTGTCTTTCCTGCAAGAATTTATGTAGCACTTTACAGTTACAAAAGTGCACAACCCTGGAGGGTGGGTATGCCAAATAGTTTTTCCAGATGAGAAAATTGAAACCCAGAGAGGTTGAGAGACTTGCCCCAGGACACAGAGGTAAATGATTAAGCCATTATTCCAGGTCTTCTGTTTGAGTTCAGTGCACTTTCCTTTACACCTACATGCCTCAATCTCCTTTTCCTGCAATAGATTTTGCATCCCCAGCCAATATCTCTAATACTATTTGAGGAGCTCAGGTGGCATTGATCGGCCAGGCTCAGCCACCTGAGTCTATGGCTCTGAACTGCCTAGCAGTAATCTCCTGTAGTGACAAGCCTTATGAGCTGTGGAAGATTACCAGCTATTCCAGGTCACAAGCAAGATATAGGATGAGCATGACGGGAGGGCGGGAGACGTACAAAGTGAAGGCAGGATAACAAAGCTGCTCTGAAACCTAGAAGGCATTGTGATACAGTTAAAAAAAGCTCTGGAATCCGGGACTTGGGCCCAATTCTCCCTTCAGATGCTGATCAAGTCTCTTAGAATTCTCAGGGCCTCGGTTTCCTCATCTGTGAAATGAGGCGGTTGAACTAGATCTGAATCCCTTTCAGTGGCAGATCTACAGATCTGGCCAAGTTAGGTGAAAGAATGACACTGTTGAACCTTTCTTTGACTTTGCCTGCCTTTTCCTTCTTCCTTTTTGTGAGGGGAAGTGGAAAGTTCAAATTCCCAGGGCTGAGGGAAGGGAGGTTGGAAGGGGAGAGGGAAGAGAGAAGGTGGAGAGAGAAGAGAGAAAGAGAAAGGAGGGGGGGAGAGTGGGAAAGGATAGAAAGGAGAGGAGAGAGAAGAAAAGGGAAGAGAACAGAGACAGGGGAAAGAGAGAAGGGGAGGGAGGGAAGGGGAGAGGGAGAAGGAGGGAGGGGGAGAGGGAGGAGGGAGGGGGAGAGGGAGGGAGAGGGGGTAGAGGGGAGACAGGGAGGGAGAAAGAGAGAAGAGAACGAGAATGCTGGAAAAGAATGGAACACGTTGGCTTCCAAGCCCACGCTCCAATGAAAAAGCATGGGACTTTTTGTCCAGAGGGAGGTGGAAGGTAGAAAGAGGGAAAAGTGACGTCAGTCGCGAAGCCTCAGCCTCAGCGCGAGCCAGTTCACAATCACGTGTCCCGAACCCTGACACTGCCACAACCCCGGCAAAACAGGAAGTTGCATATAAGCACAGGGAAGGACAGCAGGGGAGGAGGGCGTGGCTTGGCCCGGCGCCTAACGGAAGTGACGGTAGGTCCGGGGCGGGGGTAGCTTACAGCGGCGGCGCGCGGTTGGGCTCGCGCTGGGCTCCCCTGCCTGTGCTTCCCTTCTCCCCCGAGCCCCCGCCCCCTCCCTCCCTCCCTCTTGCTGCCTCCTCCTCCTCCCTCTTCTCCGCCCCCTCCTCCTCCTGCTCCTCGCCGCCGCCGCGCTCGATGAAGCGGAGGCCGCAGCGGCCGTTGGCGCTGTCGCTCCCGCTACCGGGGCCGCGGCGGGCGGGGCTCCGGCGGGGCCCAGCCTAGTCCCCAGCGGTCCCTCGCTCCGCGCCTCGCTCCCGCCTTCCCCAATGCAGGGGGCCGAGCTCCGGGACGGCGAGGCGGCGGCGGCGGCGGCGGCAGCAGCGGCGGCCTCGTACCGAGTCCTGAGCCGCCTGCTGGGCTACGGAGAGGCGGCCTCGGAGCCGGCCCCGCCGCCGCTGCCGCTGCCGCCGCCGGCTCCAGGCCATGGACCCCATCCATTGCCCCCGGCCCAGAGCCCGGTCCCGCCGCCGCCGCCGCCGCCCTTCCTGCCGAGGCCGGGGCCCCGGAATTCCCGGCCGCCGCAGCTGATGGTGTTCCGCAACGTAGGGCGGCCGCCGGAGGAGGAGGAGGAGGAGGCGGCGGCGGGACCTGGGCCAGGGCCCTCGGAGCTGCTGTGCCCCCGGCACCGTTGCACCTTGGACCCCAAGGCCCTGCCGCCGGGGCTGGGGTTGGGGCTGGGCCTGGGGCTGGGGTTGGAGCGGGGCTGGGGCCCGGCGGCGGCGGCGGCGGCGGCCGCGGGGCTGGAGGCCCACCTGGCAGCGCTGGGTCTGGGGCCGGCAGGCAAGGGCCCGGGGCCCGCCGGGGGCAGCTGCCCGTGCGCCCCGCAGCCGCCCGCGCCGCAGCCCCCACCGCCTGCCGCGGCTCCGCTGGCCGGAGAGGACCCCACGGAGACGAGCGACGCGCTGTTAGTGCTGGAGGCGCTGGAGTCGGAGGCCGAGAGCCTGGAGACCAACAGCTGCTCCGAGGAGGAGCTCAGCCCCGGTCGGGGGGCGGGCGGAGGAGGGGGCGGCGGCGGCAGATTCGCGTCTCTGCAGCCCCTGGCCCCGGAGCTGCCGCCCGCGCCCTTCCCGCTGCAGGACTTGGTGCCCCCGGGGCGGCCCTCCAGAGTGGAGCCCCCGCCGCCCCCGCAGCAGCAGCCCTCGGCGCCCCTCCGGCCGCCGCTGGGCACCTCTCGCAAGGGCTCGCTCAGAATCCGCCTCAGTCGTCTATTCCGCACGAAGAGTTGTAACGGGGCCTCTGCCAGCGGGGATGCGGCGGGCAAGAGGCCTCCGGGGGAGCTGGCTGCCTCTTCTGTGAGTCTGACCGACGTGGGAGGCTCCAGGGCCCGGGAGCCAGAGGCGGGGAGGTGAGCCTGCTGGCAGGGAAGGAGTGGGGGGCGTTGGTTGTCAGATTCCACTCTTGACCCTTACCCTACCCCGCTCTCCCTCTCTTACACCTCACCCGTTTCTCCACTCTCTTCCTTTTCCCTCCTGTCTTCCCGTTCTCTTCATCCTTTCTCTGCTCTCGTCCCCCCTTCTCTGTCCCCCTCTGTATCCCCTCTGTGCCTTCTCTTTTCCCTCCCTTTCTTCTCCCCTCTCCCCTTCTCTCTCCTCCTCCTTCCCCTCCTCAGCCATCCCCCATCTCCCTCCTCTTTCCCTCTTCTTCTTTCCTCTCCCCTCCTCTCTTCCCCCTCTTTCCTCCTCTCCTCTCACCTTTCTCCTCTCTGTCTTTCTCCCTCCCCCTTTTCTTCTCCCTCTTCCTCCTTTCCTCATTTCTTCCTCGAGAGGGGAGACTCTTCCCTCATTCTTCCCCTTGCTCCCTTTCTTTTTCCCTTCTCCCCTTCTCTCCTTTCCCTAATAAGATCTTCTTGACATTCCAGGGACCATGTTAAAATGAATAAGACTGAAAGACTCCCTCAACCTCCCTTCGCCTCATATCTTCTTACCCTTCTAGGACTGTTGGTGAATTACAGTAACTGATTGGTAGAGGAGTAGGCTCTGAAGGCTCCCCTGCACTTAAGACTTCTCAATTAGCCAGTAAATTCTGGGTGCAGGTCTTGATGGGACCTGTTCTTTGTCTTAAGTTTCTGTGTAGTGATCTCCATCCTTCCTCTTTGACTTAATGAGTAGTTTCTCTGGTTGTGTGGTCTTTTGGGACTGGGCTTTGTATGTTTCTCCCATTTCTTCAGAGGTGTTTCCTGATGCAGTCTAGAGGTCACTTGCTTGTCTAATAGTTAGGGTCATAAGGCAGGGCATTTGAATCTTGAAATTAGGCCAGAACTTTAGTTTTGAAAACTTGCTTAAGTTCCCCAAGCATGCTATAAGAGATCCATTCTGGTGCATTGGCCATCTAATTGTGGCCCAGTTGATGAAAATTCTGATTAGAAAAGGACTTTAATTTCCTTAATTTCTTTTTTTTTTTTTTAAAGGCAATTGGGGTTAAGTGACTTGCCCAGGGTCACAAGGCTAGTGTCAAATGCTTGGTCTGAGGCCGGATTTGAGCTCAGGTCCTCCTGACTTCAGGGCCAGTGCTCTATCCACTGTGCCACCTATCTGCCCCAGTTTCCTTAATTTCTTAATGGAGGTGGAATTTTCTTTTAAAGATATGACTGACTTAACATTAGTACCATAGCGCTTATTTAGAAGACTGGATAACTGATTTTCTGTCTAGTGGCATCGCAGCTTCTCTTGTGGGGACTGCTATTTTGGTTTCACTTCCTGGGTGTTGGAGAGAGAGAGAGAGAGAGAGAGAGAGAGTGTGTGTGTGTGTGTGTGTACTGGTAGCTTATGAGTGACATATTCCTGAGGAAGTCTCCATTGTACTGGAATAAGCCAGGGACATATGGCAGGAAGTGAAGAAAGTAGGGTTGAGGCAATAGGTGGTGGTCTGAGCAGAAACCTCTGTTTGAACATTTAGTATTGTCTTCATTTTGGTGAAGTTCCTTTTCTTGAGAAGGAGATAGGAGTGTAAGGTTGATTTGACTTTGGTGCTACTTTTGAACAACTTGCTCTCTGTTCCCCTTGGACATAAGGTCATACTTGCTTCTAAAAGAGCTGTCAGTGCATTCCCCCCCCTTTAGTTTGGTGAATGTTTGCCCCTTAAGTATCTTTAATGGATTAATGATGGGAACTGAGGTCTTGAAGTGTGGTTGCTGAAACAGCTTTTTGTGGTGGGTTATGCACTTGCAGCTCTACTTACTAGTGGAAATTTTCCTCATTGGTAGGGATTGGTGGGAGAGTCAAGCCAAGTGTAATGGCATAAGATAGTCTGCTAACGTTCTTGTGGTTTGTGTATTGCCTTTCTTCTTTATTGAACAGAACTTGGCTCTATGATTCCAGAATCTCCAGATAGGAGGTGTGGCATGAAATTAGCTGCTACATCCAACACATTTGAGAGTAGAAATTGCATATATTGTTACGTGGCTTTTGCCTTTGGTAGCAGAATTTAATAACCTTTGCATGCTCTGGCTCCAGCTCTCGCAGTGAGCATAATGAAGATTTCTGCTACAAAGTAAATTGCTCAGCAAAGAGGCTTAGTTCAGGATATCGGAGAATTATGTTTTTTGGTCCAGGGACTTTGTGACAAAGGTATCGAGGTAGTTGTTAAATGTGAACATGTCCAATTTTATGCAGTGGCCATTTGGTGGAAGTGCTGGATTGGTCGTCTGAATTTGAGATGCCTGCTTCAATTCCAACATCAGTTTGGTAACCTTGGGCAAGTTCCTACCTCCTTTGTGTGTTCCATTTCCCATCTCTAAAATGAGACTAATCTCAGCAACAAAATCTTGTGCTGTTTGGAAGGAAAGCTAAGGATATAATCACAGTAGAAGTTAAGTCCTTTTTAAGTGCTTGGCTGTGGTGCTGCTTGTCATATTTCCCATAGCTTATGATGTGCCAGTCTTGCTGGCAGCCTCACAGCTGTGAGAGACTTGTTAAAAGTCTGTTCCTGATAGCTATGATTTCTATAGATCTTATTAGCCCAACTCTCAATACAGCCTGTTAGGGGAAGGGGAGTAAGTAAGGTTATGGTTCTTTGAATCTGTGAGACTTGGTAGAGATCAAACACCTGAACTTCTAGCCAAAGGGTAGATGTTTTGTTTCCCCATTTCATGGCTGGAGTTAATTATGGGCCTGTGCTTTTACTGGGGCATAGTTTGACTTTTTACTAACCTCTGGGCATGTTTGCTAGTATCTCTTCATTCTCCATTCTTTCCACCCCCTCCCCTCTTACTTCTCTTATAGAAATTGGCTCTAATGCAACTACCACAGGCTAGTTTACCTGACTTAGCACTTCTTTTAATATCCTGGCACTAAACAACAACTTTAGTTCTTTCAAAATGCCTTCAAAACTGCTGTATGGTTTTACCCCCTTGCATTCTGAGACCTTTGTGTTTAGGATCAGCGTCTGCCTAGTGAATACAGTTCAAGTGAAGAAAGAAATGGACCCCACTAGCTCATCAAATTTCATTCCAAGGAATCAGGCTAGGATTTATAACACAAATATTGGAGTGGGAACAGCAGAGCTACCGCATATGGCCTAAGTGTGGATAGACCATTGTTTCAGAAAAACTGGAGAAATACCCTAATCCATTTTAAATGTGTTGAAATGATTGCCCTTTGGATTTGGAAGAAGGAGGGTGGCATTACTTAATGTCCTGTTGGCCTGCTCCTGCCCTTTTCTGGCCATCCTAAATTACCTTCCACATACACACACATTTGAAATCTGGTGCCATGTGTTCCTCAAGTTCTTCTAGGCCAAATTCCTTCAGGAACTAGTTGATACCATTTTTGACAGTCTCTATAATCATGGAGTTGAGGTGGAGGGTGGGTAGAGACAGCATAATTACAATACTTTGTTCTTTTTATGTGTGTTTGAGGAAGAGATGCTAATCTGCTTTGGTACCTATTTGGGGCTCTGCTGTCATGAAGAAATCTGAAAATTTATGAAATCTTCATGTTTCCTCACAATGATCATTGTCCAGAGGTTCTATTTCTGAATTCCATTGTGACATTCCAAATACTTTGACTCTTTATCTGCAAAGCTTGTCATTTTGGTTCTGTCATTCTGTTGATCCTAAAGCTGGCTTCTGTCATCTCCATTGTGGTTATCATCCCCCATTAGAGCTTGATATATGACTTCGGGAAGGTTCTTTCCATGTATGTCTATAAGTCTTAGGTTTTTCACACCAAGAAATGACACACCCATACTCTAAGACTCTAAACTTTGACACTTCCTATTTGATTTTCCGTGAAAGTTCCATCATTGGGTGCCTGGAGTTGGTTCATGAGAATTTTTGAATCTGACCTTGCTGCACAGAGGCCTTAGTGTTGGAATTGAACATGAATCCCAGGATTTTTGTGCCTTTTTGTGTGACTTTTCTCTCTTTGCACTCATTACTTCATAAGGGATCAAGATACTCTAGGGCTGTAAAGCTTGGGGGGTGGTGTATGACAGCACAGCTTGATTATTTTTTGTTGTTAAATTTTTTTTTGTTGTTGTAAACTTGACAAGTATAAATATACACAAACGTTTCCATATACGTGAACGGGAAAAAAAAAGGATTGTATATGAAACTGTGAATTTCTTTCATGTACAACTTTATGAAAAGTGTATATTAAATTAATCCAGTGATGCCAACACTGCCCCATATTTCTCTCCTGACTCTCCAAATTTCTTTCTTCTCTGTGAATGCCTTCCTACTCCCCAACCCCTTTCACTTTTCATTTATGGATTGTCTTCCCTTTACATTAGAATAGATCCTTGAAGTCAGGGACTTTCTTTTCCCTTGTATTTACATTCCTTGCACTTAGCTTGGTGCTTGGCACTTAATAAATGCTTATTGACTTATCTTTATATCCTTCTGAATTTCATTCTGTGTATTTTTTGAAAGAATGTTTCATTGATACTTTTTTTTTTTGGTCATCCCTGTCAATCTTTCCCTCCCCCTACAAAACCCCAAATCTCTTATAATCTAAGTAGAGTCAAGAAAAACAAATTTACACATTGGTCCTGGCAGAAAATGTATTCTTCTTAATATTCTTTTTCTGCACCCTTACTCCATCACCTCTATTCCAAGAGGTGGAAGAACATATTTCATTAGCAGTCTTCTGAAGTACTGATTGATCACTTCATTAATCAGAGTTTTTATGTCTTTCAGTCTTTTTTTTTTTTTTTTTTTGGAGGCAGTTGGGGTTAAGTGACTTTCCTAGGGTCACAGAGCTAGTGAGTGTCAAGTGTTTGGTCTGAGACTGCATTTGAACTCAGCTCCTCCTGACTTCAGGGGCAGTGCTCTATCCATTGTGCCACCAAGCTGCCTCTTCTTACTTCTTTCAGAGTTGTTTTCCTGTATGGTGTTCTATAGATTGTTCTGGTTCTGATCACTTTACCTCAGTATTCATGCAGGTCTTCTGGTTTTCTCTAAATTCATTCTTTTCATAATTTCTTATGGCCTAATAATATTTCATTGCATATACATACTATATTCCTCTCTTTCCCCAGTTGATGGACATTCCCTTCATTTCCAGTTTTTTGTTAAAAAAAAAAGGTATTGTCTAAATATCTTTGTACATATGAATCCTTTCTTTTCTGCTTTGATCTCTTTGGGGTATTTGCTTAAGTAGTAAAACTGGGGCCAAATGGTATTCGAAATTTAGTAACTTTAGGTGTAGTTACAAATTACTTTCCTGAATAGTTAGATCAATCCACAGCCCACATCAGTGCATTAATATTACTTTGCCCTCTCAAAGCCCTTCCCAGCTATTTTAATTTTCCATTTTTTTTTCGTTTTCGCCCATCTGGGTGTAAGATGGAACTTCAGAATTTTAATCAGCATTTCTCTTACTAGTGTTTTGAAGCATATTTTCATATGGTTGTTGATAATTTCTGTTTTTTGAGAACTGTTTCTTCATATCCTTTAATCATTATCTATTGAGGATTGGCTGTAGTTCCTATAAATTTGTATCCATTCCCTATACACCTTGGATATTAGACCTTTACCAGATAAATTTGTTTCAAAGATGTTTTCCTAGTTCACCATTTCCCTTTGAATTTTAATTGCCTTGATTTTGTGCAAAATGTGGGACAAATTTGTCGATTTTATTTAATGAGATCCCCTTTATTCCTTTCTTGGTTAAGACCTCTTCCTCTAGTCATGTTTGTGAAAGGTATCTTCCTTTTCCAGTTTGTTTCTGATGTGACCTTTTATATTTGGGTTGTTTCCATTTGTAACATCGTGGTATATGGTATGAAACAGTCTAAGCCTAATTTCTTCCAGATTGTTCAGTTTTCTCAGCAAGTAGTTTTTGTTGAAAATTGAATTCTTAACTTAGTTGTAGGAGTCCTTGTGTAGTCACTGCCACTATATTTGATTGCTTCTGGGTCTTGTGTATTTCATTCTTGCCATTGATCAACTTTTCTATTTTTTTGATTCTTTTATTTTTCAAGTGGGTATGTACACCTTAGAGAAGATGTAGGAGATGGATGAGGAAATGAATGGAAGGTTAATGAAGGAAATGTGACTTTTCACAGACGACCTGTATTTAGCCATAGACAAAACCTTGCATTGGCTCATTCTATGCCGTAACATTTCTTCTCACCCTTGTTTAAAGCTATGACATGCCTATATTTACTGCAGCAAAATTAGTGATTTGGATTGTGGAATCACCTTATAGTGCAGCTAGCCTACATCTGGTGAGTAGTATGCCCAGAACTTTATTAACTTCCATCCTGTTCAATTCATATACGGCCCAGCTGAATTTTCACCATTGCCTGCCCCAGTCTTCTCCATACATGCTCTATTCTCCCTACACATTTTCTGTTTCTGGCAAGGACATAATGACATTGCTGTGCATCCTGGCACATTGCCTAAATGACCTGGGGGAGGGAATGATTTGGACAAAAATGATACATTTGTTGAGAGTCCCAACATTAATGTTGGTCCCCAAACCTGGGACATCTTGCCCAGGATGATCTTTAATTGGGTGGTTTCCTGGAGAGACATTTATTAGGAAGTGAATTTTCAACCTCTTGGTTGTTTATACGTCCCCTAGCCACGGATTCTCTGAATAAGAGAAGTCTGTCAGGTGAAACTGTTTGGGGCTTTTGAATGACTGTGCCTAGGCTTAAGTTCACATACTCTTTCTGTTCCATGCTTGTTGAATTCCAGATCCTAGAAATTACCATCCTCCTTCTCTTCCTCCTCTTGGTTTCTAAAATGCGGAGGCGAGAAGATAGCTGAAGTGAGAAGGCCTCTACAAGATGTGTGCATTTTGGGTACTGCTGTTCCTCAGGGTTTGGCACTAAAGAGACTATAGTCTCCAGCATGGGCAGATGGCAGAGTAATGTAGTTTTCTTTGGAAAAAGGCAAATGGCCAAATGGCTGAGGCGTGAACCTTTTGAAAGGCCAATGCTTTAGGTTTTTGCTTTCTGAGTTTAATGTTGTGCCCCCAAGTTATTTTTAAAAAATCATTCTGGAAGCTCTGTAGCAGACTTAAAGATAGATGTCTATTCACTGAAATTAAATCTTCCTTTAAGGAGGACTGCATGTTAGAACTGAGCTTCAAACAGCTATAGGCAACATGATAAGCACTGCTTATCTTTTCTTATATAGCCAACTGAATATGCAGGGGTGGGTTGTACAGCGTGTGCATCAAGTCAGAGTGTGTATCTGTTCCCAGCATGGAGTGAGGTTATGGGGAAGAACTGAAAAGTAGCCAGATTGTGGAAACTAGACAGCTTCTCAGTTTTCCTCCTTAGGTCTTTACAGTGTGTCTTCATTATTTTGTTTTGAAGATGTGGGAATAGTGGCATCTGTTTTACATTGGCTGGGACAGCCCTCCTATAAAGGAGGCAAGGATGTGGTGGTTCCTTAGGTTATAGTCTCTCAGGGCGGATAGGAACACATTTATGTACATGGTAAAAGGCCATTGGAGTGGACAGGCACCAACAGCTGGGGTGGGAGTCAAGTAAGAGGTGGCATTTGAGCCGACTTGTGAAGAAAACTTAGGGATTTTTTAGAATCCTTAGAGGTAAGGCAGAGTGTATTCTAGTAGGCATGAGGAGTCAATGCAAAGGCATAGAGATTGAAGATGGAATGTGTATGAAGAACAACAAGAAGGCTACTCTGACTTTAACTGTATTTGGTTTTGGAGGTGATAGGGAGCCACTGGATTTTAAGTAGGAGAGAAACATGATTAGAAATGCACTTTAGAAAAAAATCACTTGGGCAGTTGTGTGCAGAATGTGTGAGAGGGGAGAGACTTGAAGAAGGGAGACCAATTAGAAAGCTGTTGCAGAAGTCCAGGAGGTGGCAGTGGGTGTGATTAGAGAGAAGAGGACAGATGGGAGAGATGATATGGAGAAAGAATCACCAGGGTCTGTTACATGCAAAGCACTGAGCTGGGTACTGGAGATAGTAAAAACAAAAAAGGAGGGGGAGGGACACCTGCCTTTAAGGAGCTTGCTTTTTCAGCATATGACTCCTCTATAACTTATAATTATGACACCCCTATAACTCTGTGTGTGTGTGTGTGTGTGTGTGTGTATGTATGTATGTATGTATGTGTGTGTGTAAAACAGTTTTCCTTTCAAAGAGATCTTTTTTTTTTCCTTTCAAAGAGATCTCCCCCAGCATTAAAACCAGCTTAGATTTGGGATTGAGCATTTAGGGGAGAAGGTAAGCTGACTTCTTTGGCTTTGCTGTTTTGAAACTTTCAATTCATTTATTAACATGTATACATATAAGTATGCATATAACATATATAAAATGGATATAGGGTATTTCTAGGAGGTAGAGAGCAGCTGGGGGGAAATGGAAAAGGCTTCATATATAAGATTTCATTTAAGCAGAGTCCTGAAAGAAACCGGAATTTGAGAGGCGGAGATGAGGAGCAAAACCCATTCGAAGTATGGGTTTCTTTTTATTAAAGTCTTCTGGAATATTCTAGTTTCTTATTGAGAAGCCAGGTCAACTGAGGTATAAGTATAAACTCAAGCTTTTCTGTGATGTTTCTCAGGAGAGAGTTTGTGTTCAGGTTGGTGCCCAGGAGGGAATTCCAAGTACTTTGTTTTGTAAAGATAACTTCTTGGAGTAGAGGATAATGCTGATGAAGAGCCTTAATACCAGGAAAATATTTGAGAAAATAAGAGCAGGAAGGGTGGGGGAAAGATGTGGGTTAGGGGAGAAAAAAGTTCAGTCTAGAAATGGATTTATAATAAACTTTTCTCTTTCCTTCATTAATTTCAGTGAGGTAGAACAGGGTGAGAGTCCTTTCAGTGTGAGCCAGTGATGGACAGGTGATGGGGCTTTGACTAGATTTAACAAAATGCCTATTGGGAAAAGTTAAAGAAAGCAGTGCATTTACTGGCACATGTCATCCCTAAGCAGTTCAGAGAGGACAGGAATCGGTCTCTTTGGGTTCTGGACTATGCCCAGCTCACTGTGGGAGCTCACTTGTTAATTGATGCTTAAGATTTTCAATTTGACTGTTCCCTGCGGCCTTTCTTGAGGGCTTGGAGACCTCCTGGTTTATTTGTGCAAAAGTAGTTGAGAACTACATGTGTCTCAAGTAGTGCTGTACTCAAGTCTAAGCTCATTCCGTGGCTATCTTTTAAGGCTTCCGATTCTAACAGCAGTCCCCAGTGGGAAAACCGATGCTATGCTCTGGCTTCCATTCAGGTTTGGAGCCTCTTTCTTGGCTCTCATATGAAAATCGACTGCATCTGATTCCTTCCTCCTGAAATGGATTTGCTAATTACCACTCAAGGTATTTTACTCTTTTAATGTGCTGGGGTATGGATAGAGATCCAGAGGGATTTCTTATTGCTTTGTAGGCTATTGAATTCTGAAGCCAAATCTGTTCAAAAAGCTGCTTAATTATTTCATTTCCCAACCCTTTAAATTTTAGGCTTTATTACAAGATTCTTACCAACAGTGACTAGGGATTTCTTTTGTTTTTCAATGCATCTGAAATTGAGTTTTCCAATGAATTCAATGCACAGATTTTTTCCTCTCCCCTTATTCTTTTTTTTTTTTTTTTTGCCCTCCCAGGAAACCCAGGTTGACAAGAACTCAAAGTGCCTTTTCTCCGGTCTCCTTCAGCCCCTTCTTCACAGGTAAGCCAGGTCTACTTGTCATTCTGGTCACTTCTGCTTTCACTGTCAATGTCTCTAAGCATCCCTCCCTTTCTTCCTACTGCCACCACCCTAACCCAGGCCCCCGTTACTCCTCACCAAGACTGTCACAATAATCTCCTAATTGGTCCTCCTCTCTCAAGTTTCTCACCTCTTCAGAAATCTCCACTGGCTCCCTATGGCCTCTAGGACAAAATAGAAACTCTTGTGTTAGACCCTTCAAAATCTGGCTCCAGTTTACCTTTCCAGGTTTATTACACAGTACTACACATCACATGTTCTACAGTCTAGCTAACTTAGCCTTGTTGCTAATACTCACATAAAACAATTCCATCTCCCAGCACCATGCCTTTCTACAGGTTGACCCCCATACCTGGAATATATTCCTTCCTCACCTTCACTTTTTGGATTCTCTAGTTCCATTCAAAGTTCAGCTCCAGCACTACCTCCTTCTTGAGGCCTTTCCTGATTTCCATGTCCCCAGTGGCTAATACCACCCCTCCCCCATTATCTTGTAGTTTCTTTGTATATATATTTTCTTTCTCCTTGTACGCATGCATGTTGTTTCCCCTGAAAGAATGTAAATTCCCTGAGGGCAGGGACTTTTTAATTTTGTCTGTTTATACCTAGTATAAACCTATACCTAAGATAGTATCTGGTAGGTGATGAGTAAACATTTGTTGATTGAATTTTGATAACCTAAAAGAAAGAGTGGATCTGAGATCTGTCACAGAAATGCCCTTCTGTGTAGGCCATAGAAAGGGCTGTTTTATGGTGTTTAGTATATTCTAAAGTTTTAGGGTTGATTAAACACAAAGAAGGATGAAGGCTTGTAGCGTAAGGTAAAAGGATATGCCCATAATTAGGGAGAGCCCCCCCCCCCCCCCCACGAAATGCATAAATTCATTATTATAACACACGGATTAAAAAATTCCTAATTAAAATTAGGAAATGCCAATTTATATGATCACAGTGCAGAATGTAGCCATTGGAGGGTCCTATAGCCTTAGAGCTATATAGTAGGAGTCAGCAAGGCCTGCAAAACTTCAAGTACTGCCCAAAGTAGATTAAAATGTAATGGGAGGGGCAGCTAGGTGATGGAGTAGATAGAACACTAGTGCTGGAGTCAGGAGGACCTGAGTTCAAATCCAGCCTCAGACACTTAACACTTAATAGCTGTGTGACCCTGGGCAAGTCACTTAACCCCATTGCCTAGCAAAACCAAAACAGAATGTAATGGGAAATGTTTGACAAAATAAATAAAACTACAACATATTATTATATATAACATATGTATGATACATATATAACATACACAATACATTGTTTTATACATACAACATACAATATAATATTAATTTATGGTTTTCTAAGTCAATATGTGGCCTATTGTTCCTGTTTGAGTGTGACACCACTGTCTTGGAATATCTATGCATTAGCTAGACTGGATTCAGGATTATGTAGTCTGTTTTTAAAGATTTCTAGTGAAGGGGTTTACATAGTCCTCATATGTTACCTATTCCTGTGTCTTAACTGCCTTTCAGCTGTTAGGGGGTGCTTCTTTGTGTCCATTATAAGTCACTCCTATTGTAGCTTTAGCAGAGAGCACTGTTAGGAATCCAGGAAGGGATCTCTGGTGTCCTATGGGTAACAGCTTCCTGGTTTGGTGTGAGGAGGCTCTCCAAAGAGGATAGGTCTTTGTTATTCATGTTAAGATGATGGTGTTAGATGATAGATGTTAAGATGATATGCTTCTGTTTAAATAGGCTATAGTGATGAATGGTCTTTATCAAAATAAAGCCATAAATTTTTTGTGGTTTGGTACTTTGTATTGAGCTCTGGTGAGAAGGACTGACCAGTCAAAACCTTTTTGAAATTCCTCTTTTTTAACTGTCCTAGATTTTATACCTTTTCTTAGTAAGGTATTATTGAGGAAATATCAAAACTGAAGAGGCTGTTGTTTTCATATGTATATGAGATGAGAAATGATATCACATTGTCCCAAGCCTCAAATTAAATGTTTCTTTCCAGTTATTAATTACTCCCTTCTTGAAGCTGAGAATGCTCAGATTTGTATGAGTCAAAGTTCTTGTGTAGACTCCCAAAACTTTCTTGATTTCACATGCAACCTTGTAAAAAATGACTTACATTTACCATTCGGGACATCTTTGTTTTCATATCAGTAAAACAGGTTGTTAGTGGTTGGATTCTTGGTGACAAATTTGATTGATTGTGCATAGCCCTATGTGGAACCACTTGGACCTCTCTGGTCCCTATAAGGGTGTGGGGAGGGGAAGAAGGAGTTAGTACAACACTCCTTATATTTAATTCTTTTGATCCTGGTAGAAGTGTTGACCACTCCTTCTAACTGAGGGATTGATTTTTGTCTTCTGAGTGAAACCAACATCCTTTCACCAAGATCCTACTGAAGTGTTCTTGTAGCTGTTGTGACCTTTGACTGGAGTGACTTTTAGGGTTGTAGATATAGTTTTCAGCCTATGTGGTTTTTTAGTTTTTTGGATTAATCTGAAATTAAAAAAAAAAAACTGATGGCGAAGTGCTCTGTGAAAATCGGAGTCATCTAGAAGGAAAAAATTGGTTAGTGGTTTAGGGTCTTTTCCTTTGTTACCCTTGCCAGTGTTTTCTTACAGATTATTTTCCTGTCTCTCTCTTCCTCTGAACTTATAGCAAGTGCCTTGCTTTATTTCTTGAAGCAGAACTTTCCAAGCTGATGCTTATTTGGCTTAGGAGTCTGTGAATATGAATTGTGATAAATAAATTGTGATAAATAAAAAATAAATTGTGATAAATAAAAAATAAATTGTGATAAATGAATAAATAAATAAATAAATAAATAAATAAATAAATGTGTTTGTATATCTCCCTCCCCCAAGGTTACCCAAGTTAATGACAGAACCTAGATTATGGATTCCTACATGTATGTCATTTCCCCAAATGCCTCTTATTCTGTGCTTAATATTTAAAATAGGTAACCTGGTTTAAAGTTATTTTATTACTGTGCAGTGAAGACTTAAGCCCTACTTAATAGGCTTTGGACTTTTCAAGAGTTGTGGCCCATCCAGCCATCCTTGACCTTTGCTTGCTTTTGACCTTCAGCCTCTGCTTTCTGTAACATGCTTGCTCCATGAATTAATCCCTTAGGTGAAACGGTGTCACTTGTGGACGTGGACATTTCTCAGCGAGGTCTAACCTCTCCACATCCTCCAACTCCCCCTCCTCCTCCACGAAGAAGCCTCAGCCTCCTAGGTACAGTGCTTCTCCCCTTCACTTTTTCCTGCCCTTTGGGAGGCGGGGGTGGAAGGAGTGCTCAAACAACAAGTTTTACTTTAGTAGGAGGCAAGTAAGCCTTTGATGGATTCCCAATATTGGCTTCTCTGGTTTCTTCCCTATCCTGTCTCTCTTCCTCTGCCTCTCCGAAGCTGGAGTTCTTGCATGTTGTGGTACCATTGCTGCTGTATTGACTTGAGTTTTTTATTTCTACTCTTCCTTGGGTCTCTTGCCACTGAGCTACTTTAGAGATAAAATCATTACTTTCCCTAACTCATTCTACCCAAATCTCTCTCCCATTCTGCATTCAAATGCCAACCAGGTTAAGGTGGTTGCAGGGATCTGCCTTCAAAGGCAGGTTGGAAGGATTAGCCTATATTGCTTTAGGGGGTATCCTATTGCTTGCTATCCCCACTGCTTACTCTGTTCTTCCATTTCTGAACTGCTTGCTTTTGTTCTCTCTTCTAGATGATATCAGTGGGACGCTGCCTACATCTGTCCTAGTGGCTCCGATGGGGTCTTCCCTGCAGTCCTTTCCCTTGCCTCCACCTCCTCCGCCCCATGCCCCAGGTCAGCTTAGCTTTAGTGGCAAGACTTGAGAAAGTAGGGCATGTGGTATGATTAACCCTGGGTGGGGAGGAGGAGGGAATTCGGGGTGGGAGTGGAGGCTGGAGCTGGGGTTGAGTGGAAGAAGGGAGGGATTCTATTTGAGAAAATCTAAAACTGTAAGAAAACTTGAGTCTTGCCCCCTTGGCTAGGCTAGACTACTAGGAGTGAGTCTGAGCTGTCCTTTCTTTAACATCTTTCTTTTGTGAGTGAATCAGATTTTATTAGGAATTGGGGTCCCCTTATTGAATTTTCTCTGTTTATTACTAGGAGCAACCAGTCTGTAGGCCTTGCATAGTTGCCCAAATCTTCTCTTGTAATAGTGGAAGGGCTTTATAAATAACTGGTCATGAATAGTACTGTGGTCTTTCTAAGCTTTTGGTTTTTACTGCAGCCTGGTAAATAAGTACCAAACATTTAGCAGCCAGTACCCACTTTTGCCAGCCTACTAGGAAATAGAATGAATGAGTTGAACATTCTTTTCTACTTGCCTGGCGTAAATTGTTACTCTCCCTGGGCAAGTAGGCGAGTGACTATTTTCAAGGCTGTTTTACCTGGAACTTTACCTCGATGTGGGAGAAGTTGGAATCTGCTCTAGGCTGGTGAAGCCACTGAAGTAGTCACCTTAGTCAGGTTAGTGAGTTGCTCCCTTGTTCCTCTGGTGGGGTAAAAGACCCCAAACCATCTTCACTAGCCTTCACAGCTCACATAAGCCTTCACAGCTTTCTTTTGGTCCATCCGGCTCTCTCCTACTGCTTTGGCTTTTTTCCCTTTTCCAGCTTAGCCTCTAATGCTTTGCCCCACCCCCAGAAACTAATATTTGTTTTGGGGGAGTGAACAGATGACCTCTGTTGCCCTGCAGATGCATTTCCCCGGATTGTACCCATCCGAGCTACTGAATCCCTACATAACCAACCCACCCAGCACCTTCAATGTCCTCTCTACCGACCTGACTCTAGCAGCTTTGCAGCTAGCCTTCGGGAATTGGAGAAGGTAGGATTGTGCTGGGGACCAGAGGTACCTTCCTTCCCATACTCCAATTCCATCCCCTACCACTGGGGTGCCTACTATTCCTTGGCCTTTCCAGCCTTTCCTTTAGGGCAGGGGTTCTTAACCTTTTTTGTGTTAAAGACCACCCCTTGGCAGTCTAATGAAGCCTAGAGACCTTATCTAAGAAAAAAATGTTTTAAAATACATAAGATTCAAAAGGAAATCATTTATATGGAAATACAGTTATCAAAATATTTTTTAAAAGTTCACAGACTGTAGATTAAGAACCTCTGCTTTAGGGGAAGGATGGTTTTCTTTGCCCCATTTGCCTATAATTAAAATATGGTCTACTCTTGTTAAGTCCAAGAAGAAAGAAAGGGTTATTAGATTGCTAATTCATAAAGACTTTTGAATGGTAGAGAGAGTCTTGTTTGGGGGTGGGAGAGAATTTACACAAGTAGCTGGATCACTTAGTCAAACTACATCAGTTTACACCAGTGTTCATTAGTGCCTCTGGTCATGGAAATACTAGAATTATTCTCCTGGAACTGTAAAGGTCCAGAAAAACAATGGGCTTATTGTTTATTGCTGACAGGCAGGGCTGTTCCCAACATATTTAGCCGCCGGGATATTTTGAAGATGTATTTTTCTTTTGGTGGCTTGGACCTTTTTAAATAGTTTACCATTTTTCAATTCTGTTAACCAAAAACCTGCTTTTCTCTTGGTAGTGTGGTTGGTATTGGGGGCCTATGAATTGGGAAGATGCTGAAATGAAACTGAAGGGGAAGCCAGATGGTTCCTTCCTGGTACGGGACAGCTCTGATCCCCGATATATCCTGAGCCTCAGCTTCCGATCCCAGGGTATCACACACCATACCAGAATGGAGCACTACAGAGGTGAGAGCAGATAATGTTCTTCTGGGGAGAGCCTTGGAACCACAGTGTTTTAGGACTGGAAAGGACTCTAGAGATGATGTTGAGGTACAGAGAAAAGAGCTTCAGTGGTCAATGATCATTTTAATGCTTACTGTAGATAGACACTTGCACTAGAGATTTTAGTCAGGGGGAGAATATGTAGTGCAGAGAAGTGGAAAACATGATCCTTGCCTATGAAAAATTTATAGTCTATTCAGGTTCTTTGCCATTATATGATGTTTTGCCTTAGGATCTGTAAACTTTGTTTTTAGTACTTTTACCTTTCAAAGTTTACTGCCTGGGGGCAGCTACCAGCCCTGGAGTCAGGAGGACCTGAGTTCAAATCCAGCCTCAGACCAGACACTTGACACTAGCTGTATGACCCTAGGCAAATCACTTAACCTCAATTGCCTAAAAAACCAAACAAACAAAAAAAAAAGTTTACTGCCTGGGGTAGCAGCTCATGACTAAAGTCTGAGCTCGTTCCCTTATTTCCAGATAGCCATCTTGCTACCTTACTTATAAAGGGGTCAAGAAAAGTATGAGACTGCAAAGAGGAAGAAATGTGACAAAAGAGACTTCCATGAGGGGGAGGGTAGCAAATGTTAGTCACTAGAATAAATGCTTAGGGTGGGGGGAGGGTCTATTTAAAGGTTTTCTTATTGACTTGGAGTAGGAGAGAGTGACTAAGATTGTTGGGGAGGCTTCCAGTAATGAGTAGCACTATAATTCTCTTGGTAGAAGGAAGACTCAGGATCATGAGATAAATTCTCCAGTTCTTGATTATAATTAAATTCAACATCTAGAGACATTTCTGGCTCATATGAACTACGAAGATGTGCACGTGGAGGTATTTTGCTCTGATCTCATGGTTCTGTTCTGAGTCTTCTTTGAATCTTCTTGTCTGTCAGCGTAGTAATGAAAATGTCCCTCACAGTCAGCTTTGAAGCTATTTAGACAGAAGTCCTCTTCAGGAGGAACTTAAGGTGGGTGAGCCTTCAGCTGCCAAACTCTCTCATAGTCAGGGGATACTTAACTCATTTCTGTAGTCCTATCTGATTAGAAGTTGACTTGTTGGCTTTTCTAAGGAAGTTGAATTTTCATTTTTTTTATTTGGTCTGTGCCCAAAGGCTTGTGGTGATAATTGAGGTTTAGCCTTGGTAATAAGCTCTCCATTATAACATCTGTATACTCTCCAAAGAAGTAGGAGTGTACAAATCCTTTGAGGATGTCACTTGATCACTTAAGGTAGTGATCTTAGCATTTCTCTCCCTGAGTTTAGCCTAATGGAGTTCATCATGCCAGGCAAGACCTTCCTTCATAGTCTTCTTGAGCACTTTCTTCTCTTCCCTTTTCCTTGCCTCATTTGGATGACGTGGGTGAGGTCTGTATCACTTTTGTGGCAGGGGTTGGTCATCTAGGTCAACATGAACTCTATTCTTAATGTTCCCTAGTAGCCTCCTCTTCCACCCGAGGGCAAAAGGGGAAGAGGAAGGAACTTGATTCCAAAGGCTTGGGAATTAATTGGTATAACTGTGGGGTTAGCTGCTGCTTTTTTTCCAGCTGTTCTTAAAAAAAAAAAATTGCAGAGCCAAGCACTTTGATAAACCAATGAAAATGACAAATGACTGGGCCACAGGAAAAGTAAAGAGATAAATGTTTGACTTTCATATTCCAGGTAGGGAAGATATCAGGAACAACCATTTTAAACCCTTCTCCAGTTACTTCTCCCTTCCTCTTCCCCCCAGATACTTTTCTTTCTGGAATCAATAGAGTTTTTAATAGAAACTTTATGTAGCTTTTTAGGTACCAGTCTGCAGTGGAACATTTGTCTTTCTCTCAAAGAAACACCTTGAATAATGAGCCATCCCTTCAGTGATCAGTATCACTTTTTAGGGCAGAACCTTTTGGATACTACTGATTCCTGCTTTAAAAAAAAAAACAAACATCAAGAATGTTCACCTTCCTTCTTTTCATTAGGTTCCTAAAGTCTTGAGAGGAAATCTTTGTAATGTGTTAGGACTAGGGAATCTATAGGGAGAGAGAAGATTGCAGGTTCACAGCTTTCTGTCTTGTCTATTTCTTGCTTAACACAAGAAGGCAAGTGAGATCCCTGAAGATTTAACTTGTTGATTTTTTTTTTTGTTTTTGGTGTCACTATTCCTATCTTTACCACTATTTTAATAATTTATTTGATGGGTGGGTTCCCTAGTGTCCTATAGTGAAAGGCAAAGCCTGAAAATGAATTTTGAATGGATAAGGAGTTAGGACCCTTTCCAGAGGATACCTTTTGGAGGTGATTCGGAGCTTGGACTTTAGCTTTCAGAAATTGTGGGTTAAATGGGTCTTTCCAGAAACTTGTAATCTTCTAGTATCTTCAGTTTATATCTGACTTAATTCTCTTACTTAATACAGTCTAGCTATTACTTTAGTATTGCCATTAGAAGCAGTGCCATTTTCTTAATGTTACGAGTAGGAACAGGGAGGTTTGGCATTCTACAAGTTTTTTTTTGCCTTGTCAGATATTACCATGAACTCAAAAAGGTTCAAGACTCATTATTATGGTACAGAATACATCTCTACCTCCTTCTAATATGAATTGTTTTCACTTTTTGATGAAAGGAACTTTCAGCCTCTGGTGTCACCCAAAGTTTGAGGACCGTTGCCAGTCAGTGGTGGAATTTATCAAGAGGGCCATAATGCACTCCAAGAATGGGAAGTTTCTCTATTTCTTAAGGTCAAGGGTTCCAGGTAAGATTTTTTTTTTAGAGTCTTCTAACTGACTTGGATGTGATATTGTCCTATTTTAGGCTGTTTTTGTGTTTTTAAATTTTTACACGTATATTTTTAACATTGATTTTTTAAAATTTTGAGTTCCAAATTCTCTTCCTCCCTTCCTCCCACTCCTCCCCTACCTATTAAGAAGGCAAGCAATATGATATCAATTATACATGTGAAGTCATGAAAAATGTATTTTCATATTAGCTATGTTGTACCCCAAAATAAATAAAAAGCAAGAAACACAAAGTGAAAAAAGTATGTGTCAGTCTACACTCAAATTCATTACTTCTCTCTCTGGAGGGTAGATAGCATTTTTCATCCTGGGTCCTTTGGAATTGTTGTGGATCATTGTATTGATCAGAGTAGCTAAATCTTCCACAGTTGATCATCAGTACAATATTGCTGTTACTGTGTTCAGTGTTCTTCTGGTTCTGCTCATTTCACTTTGCATCAATTTAGATAACTCTTTCCAGGTTTTTCTGAAACCCTCCTCCTTGTCCTTTATTATACCACAATCTTATTCCATCACAATCATATACTGCAACTTGTTCAGCCATTTCCCAATTGATGGACATCCCCTCAATTTTCAGTTTTTTCAGGCTATTGTTTTGGGGTGTGTTTTTTTTTTCTTTTTGGTGAGGCAATCAGGGTTAAGTGACTTGCCCAGGGTCATATAGCTAGTAAGTGTCAAGTGTCTGAGGCAGGATTTGAACTCAGGTCCTCCTGACTCCACTGACGAATGGAGCTCTATCCACTGCACCACCTAGCTGCCCCCAGGCTGTTTTTGACTGAGATTGTTGTAGCAGCCATTCTTGCTGACATGTCAGGTGGCAGATCCTTTCCCCTTGTATATTAATGTCTTAGCAAGTTGAGGATGAGTCTCTCTGGTCATCTGACTATAAGAATGAGAAAACTGATCCTAGTTGTCTAGGCATTTGGTGAGCAGTTGACACTTGGTGATAGTCATTTGTTCCCTGCCTTAATCATCTGGGCACTTGTATGAGAGTTTAGTCTCACCTCTGTAGAATTCATCTGTGCCAAAGTAGAAAAGCAAGCAAGTACTTGCTTAGCAAAGCAATTGTGAATGTCAGGGAAGCCAGTTTTAATTAGAGCCTGTTAAAAATTTAAAACAAAACAAACCACTATAATTTCTGCCCAGTCCCCTTCTAAGCCCACCACCAAACAATAGATATTATTTGTAACTTGCCACCCCTACGAGCAGTGACAGTATGAAGATTATCCTTCATTTGAGTGATCTCAACAGTTCCCATCCTTTGCTCCTTGTCATTTACTTTTCCTGCCCCCTAAATTGGGAGCTGATAGCATAATCCTATCTAAGAAGGAAAAGAAGTTATTTGGGGTGGGGTGGGGATGCAGCTTTAACACATTAGCTAGAATAATGGGAAAAATCTGCAGAATTCAAGACATTTTAAAATGAAGGTTTTGTGATTCCTTTTGGGACCAATTGCAGCATGTGAAGTAAGACTGGCATGGAGAGAATATCAAAAGTGAAGAGTACTGGAAAACCTCAGGTAGAATGTTAGTTCTAGGATTGAGCTAGTTTATTGGAATATTTGAAATCCTGATAATTTAAATAAGATGTGATAGATTGTAAATTAACTGTATTCTCACTTCCTTTTGTGTTGTTAACACAGTTGGGTCTCTCATGTTTGGTAAGAGGAAAAGCTTGGAGTAGTTAGAACTCTGACCTCCATATTGGAATTGCCTCTCTTAGCATTACTTCTCTACTCAGAAAGAAGTGATCTACTTTGAAAGGGTTTTCAGATTCTCAAAACCAGGGGTGGAGAACCAGCAGTCTTGAGGCCACATGCGGCCTGGAGGCTGAAGGGGTCTCCCCCCACCCCCGCCCTGCTCAAAACTATACTGAGGTTTTGAGGAAGTTGAATCCAGTCCAAAAAGGAGATATTTGCGAGGACAACCCAAAGATGGTTGTGTTGTATTAGGTAGGCACAAGAAAGGATAGTTTTCTAGGAATGATTGAGCGTGTTTGCTGCATGTAGAAGATTTTACAATTACCATTAAAGGCAGATTGGGGAAGGTTATGAAGGTTTCTTATAGAAACCACCTCCTGTAGAGTTAAATTTCCCTGGGAGGGCATAGCTATTGCTTCCTGCTCATTTTTGCTTGTTCTGTAGTGTGGGCAGTATGTGAGTTCAGCTTAGCACAAATTCATTATCATTACTGGAAACACTACTTAAAGCGCATGTCTTACCAACTCTTGTTGAGAGAATTATTGTTATGTAAAGTATGGCACATTTGTTTTAGTTATACAGTAGACAGTTAGGGATAAATGGTTTTATTGGTGAGTGTGAGAGAGGACCAATGAGCAGTTGACTTCTAGCTGAAAACCTGGCTGATCTTTATAGGATATAGGCCTATGTTTTAAGAATCACATACCAAGTGGCTGGAGCTCTGAAATAAGGCCACGTACAGTTCACTGTGCAAAGTAATAGCCTGATTGTGAGAAATGTATGAAAGTATGTACATCAGGACTAAGGTCTCTGGACTATAGGGAATGGTTAGTCATTGCAAGAAGACTGACGTTCATTTGCCCAGTTGTCTTTTCTCTAATGTTGCTTTCTTGTGGACATAGGGAAAAGGGGAGAGGAGAATGGTGCAGAAGGAAAAGAATTAGGAAAGAGCAAGTGCTGATCACACCCTGTCAGCTACTGATACCCTATCTTGGATTTCTGTAGGTTTTTAATCCTTTCACTTTGACACTGTCCTATGGCAGCAACAATCCAGACAGGTGGATTTATTTTGGGCAGAACTGTCTATTTCATGAAACTAAGAGGAAAGATCAGCACTGGAGTTATCTTGGTTTAAATTGCTGTTTAGGAACCCAAGGACAGAAAGTAACAAAATAAGCAAGTTATAAGCTCATTAAAATTCAAGTAGGCACAAAAAATCAGGTAATTGCACGCTCTTTTTTTTTTTTTTTTTCTGTAGGATATTGATTTGAACCTGGAAAGGACCTTAAAAGTCATTTAATCTAACTTCTTACTTAACAGATGAGCAAATTCTTAGACCCAAATATTGTAACTTGCCCGAGACTATACTGGCAATAAGTAGTTGAGTCTAGATTTTAAACCAGATCTTTGAACTCCAAGTCTAGCACTTTGCACCCTGTGCCAGGCTACCTTCCAGTATTGAGTATGTCCTGTTAAAAGAGATTATGTATCACTTAGGGAATAGATATATAAATGAGTTAACTTATCAAAGATATTGTGGAATTTAGAAGCATTTTCTGTCCAGGTAGGCGCCACCACCTCCCCCCCCCTCCCAGTTTTGCTGTTAGTGACATTTAATTAGTTTAACTTTAAATATTTAAAAATTTTAATTCAAATAAAATTTTAAATATTTACAATTTAAATATTTAATTAAATTTTAAAATATCAATTTAATTAAACTTTAAACATATTTTTATACAAATAGGATCTTTTACTGTTTCTTTAAGTAGGAAGAATAATAGCCCCTACCTCCCAGGGTTTTAAGAATGAAATGAAATAATATTTATAAAATGCTAAGCACAGTGCCTGGCACATAGTAGGTTCTATGTAAATGCTAGCCATTCTTATTATTGTTGTTATTGTTATTAACAACCTAGCAGTGATAGAGCTAGGTCTGTGGCACTTTTAGTAGCTTCTTGTATATAATTCCAAATTGCTTTCCAGAATGGTTTTGTACATTCACAGGTCCAACATCAGTGCATCAATATGTCTGTTTTCCTGCAGCCCCTCCAACATTGATCATTTTGCTTTTTTTGTCATCTTTGCCAGTCTGATGAGGTGGAGGTGGAATTTCAGAATTGCTTTGATTTTCACTTCTAATTTATAGTGATTTTTGCAGCATTTTTTCACATAGCTATAGATAGCCTGGATTTCTTCCTTTGAGAACTGCCTGTTCACATCCTTATCCCATTTCTCTTTTTTTTTTTTCTTTTTTCTTTTTGGCTAGGCAGTGGGGTTAAGTGACTTGCCCAGGGTCACGCAGCTAGTAAGTGTTTTGTGTGTGAGGCCGGATTTGAACTTAGGTCCTCTTGAATTCAGGACTGGTGCTCTATCCATCGCGTATCCCATTTCTCAATTGGTAAATTGCTCTTATAAATTTGTGTCAGTTCCTTATATGTCAGAGAAATGAGACCTTTATCAGAAAAACTTGCTGCAAAGATTTTTTCCCAGTTGTTTTCCTTTAATCTTAACTTTATTAGATGTGTTTATGCAAAACCTTTTCAGTTTCATGTAATCACAACTGTCCATTTTATTTGTCCTTTGTTTGGTCATGAACTTTTCTTCTATCCATAGATCTGATAGGTAATTTTTTCCTTGTTTTTTTAATTTATTTATAATGCGACTTTTCATTTATCCATTTGGTACTTTTCTTGGAATAAGGTATGAGGTGTTGGTCTAAATCTATTTTCTTCTATACTGCTATCCAGCTTTCCCAGCAGTTTTTATCATATAGTGAATCTTTATCCTACTAGCTGGAGTCTTTGTGTTTATAGAATACCAAGGTACTAGATACATTTTGTCTGTATGTTGTATAGCTAATCTGTTCTATTTTTTGATCTTTCTTTTTTTTTTAATCAGAACCAAATTGTTTTGAGAATTATTACTTTTGTAGCATAGTGTGAGTATGGAACCGCACACGTCTTCTTTGTTCTCACTTTTTTTTATTTCCATGAGATTCTTGACCTTTTTGGCTTCTAGATGAATTTCATTATTATTTTTTCTAGTTTTATAAAGTAATCCTTTGATAATTTGGTATGGCATTGAATATATTCTTTTAATTAATATTGTCATTTTTATTGTATTGACTCATCCTACCCTTGAGCAATTAATATTTTTCCAATTATTTAGGTCTTTATTTCTGTAAACAGTGCTTTGTTGTTGTATTCATGTTGTTCTTAAGTATCTTGTTAAGTAGACTCCCAGAAGTATTTTAATATG